ACTTAATCCTTTCTGATCCACATGAAAAATTATTTGTCCAAACTAGCTCAGACTTAACTTTTTTGTTTTACCACCAAAAGCTCAGACTTAGTGCACAAACGAACACATGAGCTTCAATACACACTGATGCCCACACTTCGCTGTAGGTTTGTACTAATCTATCATCTCATTAAATATTGATATATCTCTTCGTTGACATATATGTTTTCTATTTGTTTGTACAATTGCACTCATTATAGCGAGTTCAATCATATTATTCTCATTATGATATAGCGTGTTGTGGCCAGAGTTCAGAATCTCTGGCCAAAATTCAGCGAAAATCATTTCTCCTGGTCAGGCCCGGTAAAAGGCCATATCGTCCTTTCAATCTCGGTCTTTTTTCAAATTTCTTGTTGGCCCAACATGATCCATGTGGCCCATTAGTCCATCCGCAGCAATATAAATACCCAAACAATACCCTAGCTGACTGCAAATATATTTCTCTCTCCTCTGCTCAGCCGTCGCGTGCCTGCCTCCCTTTGTTGCTCCTCTACTCTCGATTTGATGTTGCTTCCATGGTCGCGTCAGCGGCTGCCGGCTGGCCTTATTTATGCTGCTTTATCTGTACTCGATATTCCGATGATGCGTGGAATCCAAATCAAGACGCCCTTTACAGCATATATCGGAGCCGTGGTGATGGGTCGCCAGTAATGCTCATGCTTGCTGGCCGGCGACAGGGTTCTCCACCAGACGTTCAGAGGATGTTGTTTGATTAGTAGTGTATGCTGGTAGGAATAAGGAGTCCTTTTTAACATCTGGCTTACTTCAAATATTCTATGTAATTGAAAACCTGTGCTGAACTCTGAATCAATCGACAAAAAGGTTGAAGTTGCATTTTTTCTGATAATGTGCAAAATTTTGTCAGACTTTTGGTGATTCTTGCTTATAAATTTTGCTTTTTCCACTAAATTTCGGATAAGTTTCGGGGTACCAGTCTGAATTGGTTTGACACAATTTTCTACCGAGAAATCCCAAAAATAACGAAATTCGCGAAAATCGCTTGTACCGTTGAGGTTAGGTACTTTTTCACCTAACGATAGCCTGAACTCTAGTTGTGGCCTTGTGGGCCTCAGGGCAGTCCCAACCAGAAACCATACCTGGTTTCCATAATATTAAATAGGGAGATGCTAATTTACAGGTGACTGGAAAGTAGTCAGGCTCTCAGGCGACGCTTTACAATCGTTGGATTTGATTGAATGACTAGATCATCGCCTTGGATCTCTAGCGTTAGCTGCTGCAAGGTCATTAACCACCGATGGGGCAGTCTAATGCAGCAAGGTGAGGCTCCACCGCAGGACAAGCGGCCGCTCGCCCACTTGGTCTATGTGCCTCAGCGCCTGTGGTCCGCAGGTTGGGCGAAAGTAGGAAGCAAGCAGCAGAGCTGCATCGTCTGTACAGGACTAAAAACTCAGTCGCCTGATAGATAGGAATCGTGTATTAAATATCATGTGAGGAGACATGAAAATGAGTGGAAACCGTTCCTCATTTGAAACCGGCTTGGCTCGGTATCCAACTGACAAAGAAATGAGTGTCATCGTTTCTATCATCAAATGCACTATCTTCTCTCTCTCTCTATCGCTGTGGTACCTACTAGCTCGCTCGGCCGTCTGGATCATGCCGCCGCGGCCCTCCTCGGCTGATCGCACCGCCTGCTGTCTAGAGGACCTATTTGGAAGGGATTCTAGACAGCTTCACAAAATGTTTTCCAGCTTTCCCTACCAAACGGCTGCTTTCAAAACAGCTTTACCGTAGAAGTGCCGGAAATCACGCCCTCACATTGGATGTATGCGGGGGGAAGCTGAAAATAGTAGCTTCTACCCGCTCACGCCTGCTCTAGTGGCTCCACGCACCGCCTGAGGCGGATTTTCCCCCGGTCGGCACGGGAAGGATGGGGCACGCAGCCGCTCCATGGGGGCGACCATAGCGTGCGGGCTCAACTTTGCTGTGACGTCGGTGGCGGATGTGCCTGGGAGGGGTGACGGCGCGACGCGGACCACCGGTGTTGGCCGGGGCAACACGGAGCTGCTGCTCCGCTGGGGATGATGGCGACGTGACGCAGATCTCGGGTGCAGGGTAGGGCGACGCAGAGCCCGGGGCAGGCCGCTGCTGCGCTGGGCATAGCAGAGCCGCTGCTCAGGGATGATGGCAACGCCCGGTTCGGAACTCACCGTGACGGAGCAGTGGTGTGTCAAAGGAGAGGAAGAAAAAGAGATGGCGGTGAGGGAGTCCTGATAAGAAATAGATAAGGAAAGGAAGAGAGGCCAGCGCACGAAAAAAAGAAAAGAAAAAAGAAAGGAATAAAGGGCACTATGGTCATTTTATCCTCTTTGTCTATCAGGAGAAGCTGTTATGCCAAATGCTTCATTTGAGCAAGGATGGAGAAGTTGGTGAAGTGAATGAGGTGATTGTCGCTGAAAAATAGTGACCGGATGCTGCTCCCTGTATGACCTGACGCAGGATCAGAGAGTCCGGTCATTTATAAAACAAGGAGGCACGCTCGGTCTCTGTTGGTGGAGTGGCCGGACGCTGGGTCACTTTGTGACCTGACGCGCGGTGGCTGCGTCTGTCTTGATGACGTGGCAGCGCGTAGAGAGGAGAACGAGGACCTGATGCTGGGGTGCGTCCGGTCGTGGCACACCTAACACGGCCGGTCGTTGTTTTGCCGCTCAGGGAACTCTCTGGAGTTGACCTGACGCGCAGTGGCTGAAGTGATCGGCGCGTCCGGTCGTCTGTTGGCGGCATGAGCGGTTCCGTTGACCTAACGCAGCGCGAGTGAGTCAGGTCGTATGTCGGTGTGTCCGGTCTTGACTTAAGCGTTCACGCAGGGGAATCTGACCATTGGAGATCAGCGGCTCTCGTTTGAAGGAGGTGACATGTGGCAGAGATCTTGTGACCGGACGCTGGGGACGCTGCGTCAGATCAGTTTGATCAGCTCGTCTGGTCATCACGATTTCAGCAGGCAGCAGTGAGCCAACGACTCTATTTCGTGGGGTCTCCTATTTAAGCTCCATGGTTGGCTCAAGCTCTCCCTCTTGGCCATTTGCATTGACATAGCAACCTTGTGAGCTTAGCCAAAGTCCTCCCACTCATCTCCATCATAGATTAATCATTTTTGTGAGATTGGGAGTGAATTCAAGTGCATTGCTTGAGTGATTGCATCTAGAGGCACTTGGTATTCGTGTTTCGCTGTGGGATTCGCTTGTTACTCTTAGTGGTTGCCGCCACCTAGATGGCTTGGTGCAGCGAGGATCATCGAGCGGAGGAAGGTGCTTGTCTCCGGCTCCGATCATGGTGATTGTGAGGGGTTCTTGACCTTTCCCCGGCGAAGAGCCAAAAGGTACTCTAGTGGATTGCTCGTGGCTTGTGTGATCCTCATCTTGTGTTGGTTGTGCGGTACCGTATTGAGGATTTGGCGTGTGATGCCAATTGGCACGTGAACCTATAAGTGAGTGAATCGCCACAACGAGGACTAGCTTGCCAGTAAGCAAGTGAATCTCGGTAAAAAATCTTGTGTCATCATCGTCCGAGGTTTTCTTGGTATTCATTGTGATTGATTGTGATCATCTTGTGATTGGCTCAATCCCTCGACACGGCGGTATAATCGTCACCATCCTCTCTTGTGCATTTATATTTCTAGTGTTGCTTCGATCTTTAGTGTAATTAGTTTTGAGAGGAAGCTTATGTCGGGTCTAGTGATTAGTGAGGCTCTTTAGTTAGCCTTTGAGAGCTCGCTAACTTAGTGTAGTGACATAGCCATTGTGTGCTTAGAGATCATAGTCACTAGAATTGTGGTAAGTGGCTTGCATATTTAATAGGCTAGCGCAACACTCGCTTCATCATTTAATTGTATAAGATCTTTGCTAAGTGTTGTTGTAGAAATTTTTAATAGGCTATTCACCCCCCCTCCTAGCCATTAGGACCTTTCACATGTCAAGTGTGAAAGCTACCAAGTACCCCCTCCGTTTCAAATTATAAGTCGCTTTGATTTTTTTTGGGCTATTATGTCTAGATAAATAACAATATCTATGTAAAAAAAAGCAATATGTAGATACATAACAAAATCTATGTACTTAAAAAGTCAAAGCGACTTATTTTGGAACAGAGGGAGCCGTTTTTAGGATGGGACTTCCATCAATGGAAAGCAAATGTATGAATGCAAAAATGAAGGAAAGAGTATTGATGTTCTGAGATATCCTTTGACAAAAGTATCGGTTCAATTCCGCTGTCTTACCAGAATTTGAGGGAGTTCCCTATCATCTCGGATGGTGGGATGGGATCCATTATATTTTAGAAGTAACCCCATGGAGGATATGAAATTTACAAACAATAGGACATGAAGTTGTTGACGTCATCAGTCACTATGTATATGAACTCCGTTCAGGCGACATGCATGTCATGAGAATAGAAATTAAAAAATTAAAAGAGGTGAAAACGTGTCACAAGGTGAAAAGTGCATCAAGTTTAAATGTTCTTGGTCCCAAATATATTTAAATAGTTGAGTAACTACTACCCACAGGGACGTGGACAGCCAACTGAAAGTTCTTCACCAAAGTGGCAAAGTTCACAATGTAGCCGCACACAGATAAATAGCATGGCACATGGCAGTATATTTTATCGTGCACAGTATAAATAAAGGCCATGCAAACAAGAAACAAAATTTTCACAATCGCAAGAAAATATATACATGCAGCTTGTTTGTAGAGGGAAAAATAAACTACAACTGTTGCACACGATATTACATGACCAAAGGCTCGGTACAGTGTCACCGCCACATAGAAAAGAACACCCTTACATATCAAGCACTTTTGTACAAGTCAGTCGCAATTCATGATCATGACCTTATCAATGAGACAAATGCTAGGGCTCTTGGTTGAACCGAACAGCAATGGCATATAGTCCATTGGCTAAGCATTAGTTCCTCCTTGATGACTGTCGCTTGAATGGCCTTCTCTTCACAACTCTCAGGATATTTGACTTACCATTGTATTTGGGCGCACTGCTTGCTGTTCCAGGGCTTGGTTTCGCACGATGAAGTACGCAACACCGTGTCCTGCATACAAACGCATTCTATAATCTGATAAATCAGGCTGGCAAATGTAGCAGTCAATCGCCTTTAATCGCACCATCTCATCCATTTGTTGCAGGCTATCACTTATCGGCTCTGTTTTCCCTTTAATGACCTCAACCCCAGTCTTCCCTTGCATGCATTCATTGCAGAAGTGAGGCGCGAAGCCCACTCCCAGCTTCAGAGGCGGCCAGTCACCCACCATGTTTCTGCCAGCTCCTTCCGCTGATGTGCTATGCAAGTAGGTGCACTCAGAGGCCAAAACATAGCACTCAACATGTACCCGGACAACCTGCTCTGGGAATCTGCAAGATAGTTCGGACGGAATGTTTTATCCAGCACAACCGTTTGGTTTGCAACATAATGCATCCTGCCGCCAAAACTGGGTGTCCCTGTGGCACAAATCTTGCATGCTGAAACATGGTGCAAAAGTGCCTGAATGAGAAATATCTTGCAGAGGAAGTCGAGTGAGTTCTCCCACTATAGCTTCAGCAATATGCTTCATCAAAGCTGTGAATAACTGCAAGCATCTTATAGCAGTGCTGACAATGTCCGTGCTCTCTGACAATCGTAGCATCAGTGTCGTGGTCGGACTCTAAGTTGGCACACTTGGTCCACTGCGAGAGAATTTTTGATTTTGGACTTGAGCTCCTTACATCCTTATGGCAAGCCTAACTTGGGATACACTGCTCGGCGACGGTCCACGTTGCTCGACGACGGTCCACACTGCTCGGTGACAGAACAACTGCTTGACAACTCATTGCGGTGGTCGGACCATGAGTTTGACTGATCGGCTTTGTTCGCACCTGCTCAAACACGCTCAAGACGGCGTTGCACAACGGTTACAAAGCGCTCGGGGACTAGCTATAGGGGTACGACCTCGGATATCCACGGCAGACCACATGAGCTGCGCCCCCAGGGGCGGCCCAGCCCACAAGACGAAGCCTTGCGGGGCATGGCGCTGCTCGGCGCGTCCCGTAAGACACCGGAAAGATATCCTGAAGATACTACGAGATCTGCTAGGATACGTATGATCCTATGATTCATGTAATCTGTTATTATTTTCTAGTTGCTAGGATGCGTATGATCCTATGATTCATGTAATCTGTTATTATTTTTCAGTTATCTCCTAGATCTAATCGACTTGTAACCCTACCCCCGGACTATATAAGGCGGGCAGGGTCCCCCTCCAAACACACGCAATATCATAGAATAGTCAATACAATCCAACAGACCACAGGAGTAGGGTATTACGTCACGCCGACGGCCCGAACCTGTCTAACTCTTGTGTCTCTGTTGTCTTCTTGTTCTCGATTATACGCATCTCTGTCAATCAATCTACCTTCATGGGATACCCCTCAGAGGACACCCGACGATATTCTGTCCACAGTAAGGCTCTGGGTTTTATTGGCACTTGTTCATGACACTGACAGACTAGTCCATGGAGTTCCTCATTTTGGTGGCCCAGCAGCTGCCAGCTGCCTCAAAAGTCTGAAATCTTTTGTTATTTCATATGTGTCAGATATTACTGTCACATTGTCACTAAAAAATATTATTTGGATAATGCACGGTCGATCGTGCGATCGATTCGCTACTCGAACAGGTGCGGATTATGATCACATTCCTTGCGGTGTACGTAACATTCCATAATGCCGCATCATTGAGAGATCATCACTTGAGTGATGGCCCAACTCTTACCATATGTCACTACTATAGAAAAGCTATGTAGCAACGGCTCATTCTTTTTGTAGGGACGGCTGGCGATGGAGCCGCTCCTACAGTGGGCACGCCCGGATCCTAGGACACTAGCCGCCCCTACAAATGGAACAGTAGGGACGGCTGGTGATATAAACTGCCCCTATAAATGGGTCAATTTGTAGGGGCGGCTCAATCACCAGCCGCCCCTACAAATGCTCCACGTATAAAACCTATAGCCACCCTTCTTGCACGAGAAAAAAAGGTTTGGAGGCCTTGGGCATCTCATAAGTGGGGAGGTTTTGATCTCAAATTGTTTGGTGGAGAGGTTGTAGAAGGTAAGAAAATAATATTCTAAACTTTTATTTGAAGTTTTAATGGTCGGTTAGTGATTAAATAGAGTTTTCCTTTTCTCTCTCTTCTATGGTCCTTGAGGCATGTATGAAACAAATTAGACTAAAGTTTTGAAGGTACTAGGGTAAATTAGGTAAGGGAATATGATCAGCCAGATGGTGGGAGGCTCTGTTGCCGCGGTCCTCGCGACGGGGCGGGATCACCGGGAGCAGGCTTCTGTGGTGGCGCTTCTTGCACTTGCAGGGCGGGGGCGTCGGCGTGTGAGCGATGGGCTCTGCAACATCGATTTCTCTCTTGACGATGGCGTCATGTGAGGGAGCCGACAACATTGTCAACTGTGTCATGGAGAAGGCCGCAGTTGACGTGACCGACACCGATGTTGATGGGTGATTCCGCTGTGCCCAAGCCGCGAACATCGGGGCAGGCCGCCATTGCTGATCCAGCTGCTGAGCTGCTTCCGCGACCAAGGTTGTGGGCTGCCATCGCCGCCTCCATTGCCGCAAACCGGGTGGAGAGATGGGATGGATTTTGGTGCGCAGCAACCATCTTGCGTGTGTCGAAATTTGGATCCGAGTGCGCCAGCAGCAGGATCCGTGTCATCGACTCGAGAGATGACCCTGTACAGCGGTCCTCTAGCTGGCGATATGGTCTTGGAGCACGAGCCCTCGTCGTCCCGGTCGTCCCCTCACGAGACGACGAGGGCACCGTCTTTTCACCATACGAGGGTGTTCTGTGCAAAAACTACAGGACGCAGATGGCACTCGGCAACGCGTTGTACGTGTCCTGATAGGCGCTGCTGTTTCTGATCAGTGAGAAGAACTTTCAGATTAATGGATAATGGATATTAACGTGACGGAGATGGACGGACAGAGATCAGTGGGACTTGCTTAACCAGGATGGGTGACGTGGCAGCATGAGGAGCTAGGAAAATTTTGTTGTGGAGATCTTCCTGTTTAGGTATAAATTAACCAGGATGGGTATTATTGGACCACAATTAATTAAATATAGGTAATGTGGCAGCATGAGGAGCTTGAAAAATCTTATAGTGGGATCTCCTATTTAGGTAAATAAAACATAAAAGATAAAATATTGCCTACTAATTATTAGTGGGAAATTACTTTTGCTCTTTTATGTCACATGCAAGCAAAATTGTGTTTTGCTTGTTCAGGATTTTGGATATTTAATTCACATATATTGTGGATCCTCCAATTTATTTTGCAATAAAGTTTTACAGATTGTGTTCGTACTACTTTCTTGGTGTATATTGCATTATTTTTTTCTTTGAGGTTGGACCAGAATTAATTGCTTTCAAGGTAAAAAAACTGAATGAAAAATATTTACACCTGTCTTCTCCATCCTACTCCTGATGTATAATGCTCGGAGAAGGGCTAAACATATCTAATTGAAATAAGAGCCTTATTGTAATTTTTGTTCCCACCAGGGCTTGCATCGAAATCTGCCCCCTGTCATATTATATATACAAAGGACTCGGGGCTGCAGGACTATCCGTCAATTGCAAAAATAATTCTCATCAGTCACTTTCCCCTGAAAAGGTCCGAGAAGCTGCATTTCCGTCCAATAACAATGGACGTGAAATCCGCGAGTATTTGCCTCTTCCTGGTACTTCTGTTGGTACAGAATCCTTCTTCTTCTGCAGGTTTTTCTATCCGTCTCTCTCACTTTTGTATATAAAGGAAGACCAAGTTGATTCGCAAATTGACACTCCTAATCCCACTATTTTTTTCTTTTCGCAGAAGATCAGAACTGCTTTTTCACTACTGACCGGGTGAAAACTTGGTGTGTCAACTGGGCATGCAAGTTCGGTTGCCTGATCGACGCCAAACAATATCATACCAAATACAAGAATAGTTGGTGCGAAGGTTCAAGGAAAGGCATTTGTTACTGTCAGTTTTGTGATTGATGCTGTACAATCTCAAAATGTATCATGTAAAAGCCTCGTGGTACAACTGTACAAGGGGGATGAATGAAAAGAACTAATAATTCAAGCTTTTGCATATTTGGGTTCATTTGGCCGGATTCAACGTTGATCGCTTGTAGGAATGAAATCATATCAAATATGAATGAATATTTACGAATACATCAGTTGTTTCTTTTGCATACGCTAGATATGTTTTAGAAATCCATCTTTGAGCATTTGATTTTTGATAGTACGGATGTTAAATATACTGATATACAAATTGTGTTTAGATTTTGAACCCCTCCCGAACAGAGACATTTGAAAATATACATCCTTTTTCAACCCTACACATTTGCACATTTTCTTTTCTACGTTCTCCTTTCGTGATGGATCAAGACTGGCACATAATGTTCTATACTTCTAACAGGAATGATTTAGAGGACGATTTATTGCCTCCTGACTTATTGTTTCCCAATGATTGAGTGATCAAGATCGGCAGGGAATCTGTCACTAGCAAAGCAAGTCTCATCTAACTATCACAATGGTGGATGGAAATCAATTTAAGTTCGTCTCTTCTAACCAAGGACAATATTTTTAACATTAGATTAGAGATTTAGAAAAAAATACAACATATTTTAATATGAAAATATGAACGTAAAGATAAATCTGATATTTATGTTCTGTGTGAGTGATCTAACAGTACCACAAATAAGGGCTGTCGCACTCCTGAAACTCCTTGGTAGTTTCATACCTACCACCTCAGGAAGACACTACCTTTGGAAACTACTCCCCACAATGTGTCATTTCTTTATGTGAGTCCCCATCAAAATCTTGCCAATTGTCTCCTGCGTCTCAGCCATCCACATCTTTTGCCGGTCCACATCTTTCACATGGTGTCTCGAATGGGGGCGGGTAGAAACGGCTAGTACGAGAGGACGACAGCGGTGGCCTGCAGAGCGGCATGTATACAGCGGCTGATTGTAACACCCTAAAATTTGCATAACTTTGAAATAGGAGAAAATGATTAATCTTGTGGGCATTTGAATCTAGGTTTATAATCATGTGTGTGCATTTATGCTGTTGCATATTAATTTTTGAGTGGTGTGATTTGAAATCAAATTTCAACTTGATTTGAATTTCGCATTCAAATTGGTTTTGAAAATGGTTTGAAAAATGGAAAAGAATTTCCCTCTCCATTTCTCAAATTCGGTCCGCCGGCCTTGTTTCCCCGCCGGTCC